TGGTTAGAGGTGAGGATATAGGGTACTCACACGATGTGGGCATGGTTAGAGGTGAGGATATAGGGTACTCACACGATGTGGGCATGGTTAGAGGTGAGGATATAGGGTACTCACACGACGTGGGCTAGGTTGGAGGTGAGGATATAGGGTACTCACACGACATGGGCTAGGTTGAGTGGCTTCTCAGGCTGGTCAGGGAACATGGGGTGCAGAGGTTCACCACTGGAAGCACAGCTGAGCGACTTGCTCAGAGCGTTTGTTAACTTCTTTGCGGGAGATTTCTTGGGGCAAAAAGAAAATTAGTGATGTCTGATAAATAAATCTGCCATGCTAATAGCTGTTTCACGTTAACATAACTATTGTTTAGTTTGAATCTTCATCATAATAGTGTGCACTTTAATAAGAACAAGTTCATGTATTGAGGAAACTTCTAAGGATATTTCTGTGGTGAAATATAGAACGAAGGTGGCTCTCCTCCAGGTACTCGGACTCCCAACCAAACTGCAAAGACAGAGTGTTTAGGAGGACTGGTGTCTCTATTGCGCCCCTAGTGTATGCTAGTGGAAGTGAAGGACTGGAATTATGCCCGGGGTGTCCCAGGGGTCTTGTGTGTTCTGGGACAGTCTCTCGGATCACCACTGCCCTGCCCGGCGTGGGCTGGTACGGAAAATAAAGAGCCACTTCATGTCTGGGGTGTTCTGCTCAGACCAAGCAGTAAGTAATTCAGGGTAGGGAAAGGAAAAGTAAATGACAAGTTACATATAATCTAGTAAGTGTATGCATTGCAGCAGCACAATTTCCATAAAATTGTAACATGGAATAATCTGGATCAATGTTAAAGTTATATGGTAACATTCCTGAGAGACAATCAGAAGAAGCTCATGGGCGTGTAAGGGCAGAACGAAAAATGATTGGTTCAGAAAGATAACCAATCAGATTACAGAGGAGGTGAAACTAGAGGAGGCGGGACCAACCAATAATATATCTTGGTCCGGCCTCCTCTAGTGGCTTGGACCCGCCACCTGCACGATCCGAAACAGCGGGGCAGAGCAGGGGTGGGGCGGGACTGTGCCAGAGCGGCAAGATTACGCTCATTTTAAGCGTTAAATAACACAAACACTGAAATCAGCAGTAGTGGCAATTGATCACATTGGGTCATCCATTTGCATCAATTACCATAAGCTATTCCCACTATTTACTGGCAGACATAGTAATTCTCAGAAATATATTAATTTAAATATGCTGCTATATAGGAACATCTTTTTACACCACATTAGCAGATGATATCAGACAAGTGATTGTCTTGCATTATGAGACAATTTTGTAAATTGCATCTAAGAGATTCGGCAAAGGTTGCACTTATCTTAAATTGTAACAAAACTCATAACTGCCTTTTTCTGGTCACATAAAATAAAGGATGTGCCAGATTTGCTGGGTAATACGTCCATTTAAGTATGTGAATGTGTAATTGGTTATAAAATAGAAGGCACTGAGGGCTAAGCGTGTCATTCTGACAGCTGAAGGATCCACAATGCCACCATTTTTCATTAGCTCACACGTTTTTTCGCAATTATTATTTTCTCCACTGAAATGTACCATCTTAAAATGGAAGCAGATCTTGAGGTTTGCGTTCCTTCAAAATTTTGTTCGTGTGTGACGGACTGTAACTGGTAATATCCGGCCAATTTGATTAATCAGATAAAGGATGCTTCAAATACATTTTCTGCTGCCCTTATCAGAGTATTAACACTGTGATCACGGCTGCCTTGGACATGCAAGCAACATAGTTTATTGAAGAGTAACTCTAATGACGTCACACTTCAGCTGCTGTCGAAGCGTCTTTCAGACTGGTTTGATGCGGTCGTAGCTCCTCCCCCTTACCCATGATGTGTACTCCTTCATCTGGTGCTGGTTGCTATGGGAACCACTGGCATGTCCCCTCCAGAAGCAGTCCTGACAAAGCTGGTAATTATGACACTGCTGGCAGCGGTAGCGGAATCCCATCATACTCTCGCTGTGGCAGTAGGAGCATTCGACTGGGTGAAATACTGGAAGGGGAGGGACAAACAGGGGACAGAGGGACTAAGCTGCCGACCACAGATTTATACTCTGGGGGGGGACAGTTAACAGTGCGGGGGAAGGGGGCGCGTATATTATGTAACCCTGGACCTAAGGTACCGGACGCCACCAAAGAGAGGCAGAGAGAGAAGTGTGATTGGTTAATGTTTCCAAACTGACGAACACATAGTGATGAGTTAATTATATAAGAGATATCAGCATATCCATATTCATTTTAATTAATCATTAAGTTTCTGCACTGTTTTAAGATTCTGCGACAAAATTGACACAAATTAAATAATATGAGAGTATGGTCAATGGTGTGTGAACCAATCACCATCACTGAATTTATAAGCTGAAGTATACAGCATATCTGCAGTAGGTAGGTATTCTGTGGCTGACCATTCTTAATGTAAATGTATTTCTCAAACCATTAAAGTCTATCCCATTATCTGATTCTCTCTCTCTCACTCTCTCTCTATATATATATACATACACACAATCTGCACCAACACACACGTGTGCATAGATTTTTAGCTGTAGGAAGGCAGCCCACAGTACCGTTCTCCACGTTAGCCAGACGGTGCATCAGCGGCAGCCACACCAGGCACTGGGGGGGGGGATCCGACATCAGCGTGTCCAGGAAAGTGTTCAGGGAGACCGTTTTCTTAAAACAGGAAATTCAAAAAGGATATAGGTTACATATACATTTTAACCCATCAGATATCGCCCCTTTCTGTTTAATTTTTTTTATAATCTTTTTATTCATATTTATTATTACTTCTCAAAAATAGCTAAAAAAAAAAAAAGCTAAATAAAATTTACATGCTACAATCATTCACCACACTCTATGGATGCTACACGGAACAGAAATAATTCTTTAGCATTGATAGTCTTTAGCTTTATTTTGGCCAGTTTTTTCAGTTTGGGGGGGGGGGGCGGTCTATGAGTATTTTTCATTATCAGCTCCAAAGAAAATTTGAAAGACCACCAACAACGTCATGCTGTAATGGCACCTCCAGGCCAACAGGGGCCGCAGTTGTGCTTCACAGATTGGCTGAAGAACAGCCCGTCAAGTATTAGTACCCATAGGTGAACATAGTCTTTCTGTGGCTAGATGCTTTACCTATGTCTATAAAGATCTCACAGTTCCTCATGATAAATATCCGCCCCCCCCAGACTCAAAGACTATAATAAAGCCATATCTAACTAGATTAAAATACATGGAGCACTTTGCTTCATCTTCTGTGGGGAAATTCACTCCTGGAGAAAAAGAGGTTTGATTATCCCCATGGCATGAACATTAATTCCTTCGTCCTTCGAAGGACCTTGGGGTATCAGCACTTGGGCAACAGAGCAACCGGCAATTAAAACCAGCCACCCAAAATACTTCTGACTGCTGCAAGGTAGGTGGAGTAACAGAAAACCATAGTTACTTAAAGGGAGGAAAGGCTGGTTCGTCTAAGTCACAGTGTCATCAGGAAATGACCCGAGATCAATGAGCTGTGACTCTACCTGTTGTGCAAAGCAGGATCTCGCAGCCTGCTCAGTGTAGCCGAACGAGGGGCCTTCAAACACGGCGGTGGGCAGTTTAAGGACTTCTTTCAGGAACTGGTCAAACTTGGCGTAAACCATTATACCACTGGAGTCAGATATCTGTGAAAAAATATCTGGAAAGGCAACATGAAAATAAGTCGTGAAAATGAAAATGGCCGCTCATAACATCTGAATAGATGTTAAACAGAAGCTTAGGTTAGGGCAGTCGTCTCTTTGCTGCCAGGTCTTGACCTTATTAGGAAGTGGGCTTGGCTCTGTGCCAGCAAGTTCGTTCATGCTGAGTTCTGATGCCTCATTAATTTTTTATCCAGAGTGCCTTTGATCACGCTGGCAGTTCCCAAAGCACGAGTCAGGCAGCTGGACCGATGGGTCACTTTGGGCAATGAACAGACAAAAGCTGATGGACGTTTAATTCCTGCAGGGACCCCTGCTAGATCAGAAGGGCCACAAAAGGTCCAAGCCGCAAGGGCTGACCCTCAAAAGAAGACACTGCTTTAAAAAATAACTCTGATAGCAGAGGTGGCAATTTCAGGTCCAGAAAGTAAAAATCCAGACCATGATTTACTTTCAACCAACCAGTTGAGCATAAAGTGTCACAGTCACAGAGTACTCAACTGGTTGGTTGAAAGTAAATCATGGTCTGGATTTTTACTTTCTGGACCTGAAATTGCCACCTCTGTCTGACAGACAGAACTGCATGTATCCTGCGAATACTATTTCCGTACGAAGAAACGCAGAGAGCTCTCAGACTGCTAACCAAGAGCTACCCTTTTCATTAGACTAATTAGGGAAAAAGTCGGCTGTAGCTTTAAGGAATGTTACATTTACAGGGCGGCTCGTCCTCTTGGGTGTCACTTACATCTTAATTTGTCCATCATCTTTCCTCCACAAATGGTTGCCAAGGCCATCTTGACGACAAAGACAGAGATTTTCCCGTGACCTTCCCTAGAAGAAAACACAGTGAAAGCAAGGACAGCGTCACTAAGAGTCGCTGCGTCCCTACAGTCTTATTCGAGCTGCTATACACAGTCCGGATTTAAAAGTAGTTATGTGGGGAAAGTAATTCAAGACAATTACAATTACAAACACAATTACCTTTCATAACATCATGAAGTCAGCTGAATGCATTTGTTTAAAATTATTGCAGATAAATATATTGATGTGAATAACACCGACTTGCCAATTTAAACATCACATTAACAGGGGAAGGCCATAACATATTCAGCAATGTCTTTGCACCACAGAATGCACGTTGCCTTGTGAAATAAGGAAGATACAAGAAAACAAACGTGAAAGCAGGAAAAAAAATATATTAAGTCAAAAGCCCAGCCAAATGAAACAATGGCCAGTAAGTGTTTTATTTCACAGACACAAAATGTCCCTATAACTAGAAGGTGCATATAAAAGTCCCATTGGGTAGGGGATGAACTTTCACTGATGTTCCACCCGGTCCATGGTGCAGAACCTGGCCCTCGGAGTCCAAAGGCAGACAGATTAATGACTTTGAACCGTTAATGGCCGTGTGGTTCAAAGGACAGCTTTGTCCTGAATGGTCTGTGTCTGCTGACTTGCTCTCACAGCTATTAATATAGGAAAACCATGAAAAAAACCCAGGGTCATTTAGCCTATGCATGCATACATTTCCGATAAATGTGCAGTTGCATAAAATCTTTTGGGGAATGATTAGCTATAAAATTATCCCGCATACGTAAACTAAATCCAGAATTTCAAATATCAAAATGACACAGTCCTGCTTAATAGTACTGGGAAATAAAAACATGTTTAAATCAGGATATATTTTGTTTATAGTAAACAGGAAACATACTGCAGTATTCCTAACGACTTTGTTCAACATATAACTGAGTATAGCAGAGGGTACACCCTGGACAGGACATCAGTTCATCAGAGCATAAACCAACATACATTATAGGCAATTTAGACAACATCTTATATTAAACAAACAAACTTCAATATACTGAGTGGTTGATCACAAAGACCTATACACATATAGAACATGAAAATGACCATGAACCCTATATATTATGTAGCATTAAGTGAAATCCTGCACTTGTGATATTCATGTGCTATTTCGTTTGCGGGACTTACGGATCGTAAGCGGCCAGCAGAAAGTTGAGGAGCAGGCTGATGGACTGCTCCACGTTGATCTGATGGGTGGTTGGCAGGCGTTTGTTCAGCTGGTAGAAGATGGTGGACAGTATTGCTTCCAGCCGAGCCACAGTGAACTGAGTGCTGAGGTCCATGTTGTTGAGACCATTCTCTCTGAAGGCCTCTATGACATTCCAGATGTCTACTAGATGCACTACAATTTGGTGGAGATTGGTGGAAATTAGAGGCTAAAACAACAGTATTTTAGTATTACATCAGTAAATACTCATTGTAAGTTATTAGCTGGAAATCAAAATCAGCTTCAGCTGAAACATATCATGAATACCAGAGAGGATATAATTAAAATCTATATTTTATACTTCATATTCATTCCAGTACTAATAAAAAGATACTACAGAAATATCCATCCACCCATCCAAGCTTCCTTCCTACTGGAGTGCTTATCTAGAACAGGCCTGCATAGCACAAGGCAGAAGACATCTTGGGTGGCATAGCAGGCAAGTGCTGGACACACATTTATACAAACACGCACACAATTTAGAGACATCAATCGCCTAATCAGATGTTCATGGCCTGTACGAGGACCGTGAGCAAATACAGGGAGAAAGTGCGTAAGAGTGCGTAGGTGGGATTCGAGCCCCTACTCTATGAGGCTATATCTCTACAACAGATTTGGCTATAAACCAAAAAAGTGTGGCTTATTTAAAAGCTGACTAACCAATAAAAAAAGGCACAGCACACAGTACTGTCTCAGAGGTAGACATAGATAAATAATTTCGAATCGAACTTGATTAAGGCTAATGTCGTAAAGGAACGGAGACTTTCAAACAATTTTTTTTTCCTAAAAAAAATAATTGTATTCAATTCTATAAAATATAAGAAATTTTGTGGTATACAAAAGCAAAATCCTTGATTTTTATAAGCAGGCATTTACTATTTACAGAAAATGTACTGGGAGAAATAGGATTCTAACTTATGACATTCTTACTCTGGCTGTTCAGTACATTCTTAACACTCCCCTAAAATAGTGATGTCTATTCTGACCAGCCCATTTCCTGTTGTAAAGTTGAAGAGAGTGATTGAGAATTACTGCTGAATGCATTACGAAATTAGCTATCTCTATTAAAGGCAAATGGCTTTGTCACTGGCAAGAATCCATAAGTCCAGTTGTTAATGATCTACAGCTAGCTGTTTGAGAACCAGGTCTAATGTGATTGGTAGACTTAAAATCTCTGTAATGTATGGATTTATGATTTAGCAGATTATAAATTCCTGGCTTTGAAAGTTATTAGAAAGCAATACATTTTTAGCAAACAGATTAATCTAACTTTGATGCTATAACTAGTTATCTTTTGAGATTTCTATTTGTTGCATGTTGTTCATTTCACTCATCACGAATAATGTGATCGGGGCAGAGCGCTGATCTTCTTTAATGCAGATTTTTCATAATGTACACACTGATTGCCTCTCATAGTAAATGACTGCACAGTGCAGCTCCAGCTATTTATGTTATGGAATCACCTAACACCCGGTGGATAATCGGTTTTTAATCAGATTATTTAATTGAACCTAATTAACATAATGAACAATTAGGTGTTAAGCATGTGGATGTGTCTAGTTCATGGTCTCTCATTGTCTGTGTCATACAATCTCCTCTCTCCATGTCCCTCCGTCCACATTCCCTCTTCCCATCTCTCACCGTCCCAATGTCCCTGTTCCTCCGTCCACATTCCCTCTGAGCATATTTCACTGTCTCTCCCTGTCCCTCCGTCCACATTTCCTCTTCCCATCTCTCACCGTCCCAATGTCCCTGTTCCTCTGTCCACATTTCCTCTTCCCATCTGTTACTCTCCATCTGTCCCTGTTCCTCTGTCCACATTTCCTCTTCCCATCTCTCACCGTCCCTATGTCCCTGTCCCTCTGTCCACATTCTCTCTTCCCATCTGTTACTCTCCATCTGTCCCTGTCCCTCTATCCACATTCCCTCTTCCCATCTCTCACCGTCCCAATGTCCCTGTTCCTCCGTCCACATTCCCTCTGAGCATATTTCACTGTCTCTCCCTGTCCCTCCGTCCACATTCCCTCTTCCCATCTCTCACCATCCCAATGTCTTTTCCTCTGTCCACATTTCCTCTTCCCATCTCTCACCGTCCCAATGTCCCTGTTCATCCGTCCACATTCCCTCGTCCCATCTGTTACTGTCCATCTGTCCCTGTCCCTCTGTCCACATTTCCTCTTCCCATCTCTGACCGTCCCAATGTCCCTGTTCCTCCGTCCACATTCCCTCTTCCCATCTCTCACTGTCCCTATGTCCCTGTCCCTCTGTCCACATTCTCTCTTCCCATCTGTTACTCTCCATCTGTCCCTGTCCCTCTGTCCACATTCCCTCTTCCCATCTCTCACTTTCCCAATGTCCCTGTCCCTCTGTGCACATTCCATTTTCCCATCTCACTCTCCGTCTGTCCCTTTCCCTCTGTCCACATTCCCTTTTCCCATTTCTCACTATCTATCTGTCCCTGTCCCCCTGTTCACATTCCCTCTTCACATCTCTCGCATCCTTCTCTCCATGTTGGCAATTCTTTTTTTTTTTGTTTTCTGTCTCTCCCCATCTTCATCCCAATTCTCCTCCGCCGTCTACAAAATACTTACAACTGCATTTCTTCTGCACAAATCTTAGCTTGCATGCGGTTCTGTAAGTCGATAATCGAATGCGATCCAAGTCTTGAGCCCCTGTTAATAAGAGTTAAAACGGAAGATATTTAATCAGGATAATGGACTGAATTTGCTCTGATAGTGTGGAGTCAGAAGATGAGTGGATGTGACCCGACTCACAGGTTAGGAGAGAGCATTTGACGGCTATAAAAAATGTGAGTGACAGGCCCAGCTGGCTTTGTGTACACCAAACTAACTTCAGCTGAAGCTAAATCCTGAGCCATAAGCTTATTAATGTTTTCTTGGTGACTACAGTGCACTTTCAGTTATTATGTCTATTAACGCAGTGTTTTATTTTGGATGCGTTACATTTACCCAACACAATTACAAACAGTAGTAATTACTCCAACAGTTTCATGATTTGTAAAGTAAAAAAAAAAAAATCAACATACACTTTTCATTTTGATATTGAATAATGACTGATGTCTCTTTAAGAACAAGCGTTCCTGTGTTATGGCTCCTATATTAATAGCTGTGTTACATGTTTCGGGAGGGTAAGAGAACCAGCAAAGGGTGTGAAGGAGCGGCAGAGACTGTCCCCCAGCGGGGTGTGTGAGCTATCAGAGGAGCGCGGCCTTCAGCACTTACTCATATCGGCAAACAGCTGTCTTCTCTCTGCCATGGTTTCCCTGCTGTGTCCACGCTCTTCAATCATTCTGTCCAGGAGCAAAGAGAGCAGACATCACTTTAGTGTCTTGGTGGGTGGTTCTTAGCAATGCTACGCTATCCTGCAGTGAGTGCCGGTGGGCCTTAGCAATGCTACGCTATCCCGCAGCGAGTGCCGGTGGGCCTTAGCAATGCTACGCTATCCCGCAGCGAGTGCCGGTGGGCCTTAGCAATGCTACGCTATCTCGCAGCGAGTGCCGGTGGGCCTTAGCAATGCTACGCTATCATGCAGCGAGTGCCAATGTCAGAGAGACAGGCTGTCTGGCCCTGCGTCCGGAAGCTCACATGCTGCCCTGGGAAAGGGATACAGCCTGACCTGCACACACATTCACCCTGAACAGCACCTGCTCATATTTAATAGTTACGCATTTAAAGCGGCATAATTTCCGAATCCTTAAACGCCTAAAACGAGGCAGCTTCGTAATCCACTGGCAGCCCTGCTCCTGATCTGCAAGCCCACATGCCATTTCTCTACAGCAGCCTTTCCTTCTCCATGTTAGATTAAATCTCCCTGTCAAAAAGGAACTAATAGGCGGCAAATTAATATTTACTGATTAAAGACAATGGCCCTCTGTAAGACATCCAGTTGTTCTACTGGTTAGTTTGCCATCTAAATTAGACCCCCCCCCCCCCCCAGAAAATGAAACAGAGTAAACACAGTATTCTGTATCATGGTCTCAGTCAGCTCGTGATCTCCTCTTTCAGAAGATATGTTGCAAGACCAGGGGTTACATTACAAAACAGGATATCATTTCTGATCTTACCAATATTATAGGGATGAATATATGAACTATTTTCTCCACCAAGATGATTGTGGAGAGCTTCCTATATGCTCTGCACAGGTGCCTCCTTCGGGCTCTCTTCAGTATGCCGAGTAATTCCCCATCAGACGGGAATGACTATCAGCGAAGCTCACAAGCTCACCGGTTCAGACAATGACAAGAATACACGAGTTTCCGATGATTTTCAAATGCCTCAATGTCATCTATGCTCGTTACATAATCACCCGCTCCGAGGGCTTGGCCTCTGTTCTCGGGATGGGAAGTTCATCGCTTCAAATCCCACGAGAGGTTGAGCAGTCGTATTGCCGTCGGGCACTTCCAAAATGCCCTTAACCCCCAGAAAACTGATCCGGGGGGCGGCGGATAAATAGCCAGTTCAAGCTTCAATCTCACCAGTGTGTTCCTGTATGTCTCACAGGAGGGCAAGATGGGATATGTGAAAGTAAATAATTCCTATTCACCCGTACAGTCAGTTCTTTACTGACACAAGTAATCCATTCCACAAAGCCTTACGTAAGTCAAATTTTGCGTAAGTTGGATTTACCTTCCCATATGATTCAAGTCACCTTATAGCAAAAAACACATAAGCCAAAAATATATTAGTAATATGTTCTAAGGAACACATATTAAATACATGAGAAGATAAGTGTAAATTGTCCTTGCAGGCTCGTGCTACCTTTTTGCGTTACCGTAAACTCTATACATCTCAGGCGTTTTGCTTAAATCTGAATTTACTTAAGTCGTTTTTTTTTTTTTTTTACGCAAGTACTCTTATGTATGCAGATGGTGAGTTTTCGCTCATCTCGGTGGTTTCCATCTCTGCCTCGGGCCCTGCTACAGTTCGCTTGCTGGTTCTTTCTGCCAACTTGCAGCTCTATCCGCACACACAAGACCGATGTCAAACATCTTGGGATACCAGTGTTGGCACGCGTCCTGCCGACGGCCATCGTTTACCTACACACACATACCTGTCAGCTCAAGTTCTTGTGGCCGGCTGAGAATTCCCGCCCTACTAAATCTCCTACACGGCATCAATACTAATTACACTGTACTGCAAATGAACTCTGCATGATACAAAAATCCATTTTAATTAAATGTGATTTCGGATGGGTATTATTAAGCTAAAAGGGGTTAGCAAGGCATTCCCCACGCAAATCATCTCGTAATTCTTTTATCAGTATAGGTGGCTATGTTATTCATTTTCAAATCACTTAAACTGGCACAATACACAGCATATGTATTGACGTACAAGTGGAGTATTATACACGGTGCATACTACACATGATACACAGCATATGAATTGACGTACGAGTGGAGTATTATGCACAGTGCATACTACACACAATACACATGTAAGTATCTACTCGTTTACTTTATATGTGTTATATTTATTAGAGTAATAAACTAATCATTTAACAGAATAAACTTAATTACGCATATATGCAGTTAATGCATACTCTACTCCACTTGGGATTTGTGGCATGCATTTAGAATAATGGTGTTTTGATCTGTCCGTACCACAATAATGACTTTGTGATTAGCCTGTTCCGAAGGGACCACCTGGACTGTTTAAGTATGACATACAGCTAGCATAGTGATTTAAGCCAGAAATCCTGCTCTTGCACCCATAAATACGAACACTATGCCAGCACTAAACCACTACAAAATTTAAATGAAATGCCCAGAACTTCTCCGTTCCTATCCGTTTAACAGCAGGTGTCTATTTTGGCCTCATGTTCTCATAAAAACCCCAGGGACTGCTGACAAAATACCAGCTACCAGATGACCTTAACTGTCCTCCTTAGCATATTGATGCCTTTCAATGTGACTAAATCATTTTTTTTTCCTTTTAAACACAATGCTTACACTGCTCAGTACTGTAAATACTAAAACCATACTATACACCACTATGAATACTACCACTGCACTCTGTAGTACACTCCTGCATGCCACAAACTGGCGGAATGCTCTGATCAGTGTTAATACTCTCAAACACGCTTGACCTTAATATAAGATCAAATTTAACAAAGTAACAGAGAGAGTACTGAAGAAAATACTATTTCTTACCTTGAAACAGAGTAGGAAAGTTGTATAAAACTTCACCAGTCAACCCATCGGAGGACTTGAGAAAGACAAGGGGGATCCTATCACATTAGCACAGGGCAGACTGCATTTTCCAACTATGCCTCAGCGCACTCTTGCCTACGCAATCCAATACACCTCATCATGTGCTCGGTTGCCATAGCAGCACTGAACCCTGCAGCTCTGTTAGGGAAGGCTGGCTGAAACTTTTCTGCGCTTGGGAGAAAAGGACACCAGTGTTTGCAGTAACCTTTTCGCAGTGCGAGCACAAATTCTTATACGTTCAAAAAGATTAAGCCAGAGAATCAAATTACATAATCAGGTGTTACTTTACAATAATGCATACAATAACGCACTGATTATTCCTTTGATTTTTGAGAAAGGATCTTTCGCCAAACAAACAATTATGAAGCACGATCATTTATGAAAAGCTGCCCCTTGTAGTGGCTACAGAGCCAAGGCCGAGCGGTTTAAGCCCCGATTCTGGAGTGATATGCGACGGCGGGCCTAACACCATCCTCACAATGCCAACCTGAAAGAAGCAGAGCCTGACCCTGAAACAAAGGGGCCTTTGACATGGACACACACAGGGACCGAGCGAGAGCCTTCAGGGACGCACAAAGAAAAAGGCGAGCTGTGCTGTGTGGGGGTGGGGGGGGGGGGGGGGGTCAGCCCCCCCTGAAGAATCACTAAAGTGTAAAAAGCCTACACAGGTCCCATCTTACGGCCAAACCCACTCTCCCGGGAAATCCAGCCTCTCCTATACTGCCCAGGCACCCTCACACCTACCCAACCAGAAAGGCATGGATAACAGATCACAGAGAGATAAAACACAGCAAAACAGAAACCAGAAGCAGGCAGTGTATCCCTGTTTAAAGGGTTACCCTTTATTTTGCTGCATGATATTTGGTGATATCTCACAGTTGTCTGATGAAGGTCACCATGCTGGTGATTGTTAAGGAAAACGACAACAGAGGAGCAAAGTTTACTTGTTTATCAACAGTTCTGTCACATAACTAATCAGACTGCATAAAGAGTTTGGCTGCACTCCACTCTTTCGTCTTGAGACCAAGCTGTGTTTAACTAAGCAATTCAGTAGTTCAGTAGCAGAGTCTTGGCTCCTGAATCAATGCTGAATGTGTTGTATAATTATCTTGGGAATTGTTCCATCAGATTCGAAACTTCATCGTCAGATACCATCAACATTATCAGCTTCATCTAAACAGACCCCAGAGATCCAGGAGAGGAGCCTCCAATATAAATGAAAAATTAAAGACTACACAACTAGAATATATATTAATAAAATCAATAAAGACAGCTGTAATAAAGGCATACATCATGGCACTTCGGAGACCATTTATCAACCATAAAACCTTAGTCTGGCAAGTAAATGGGATTAAGGTTTGATTTTGATTAAAAATAGATTTTCTCAAGATCGATAAATGAAATCAAATTGCATTTTATATGACGTGGCTTGTTAGAGCCAAGACGGTGGCCGTTGCACAATGAGGGGCTCTGCGTCTCTCCCTTTTTTGCAAATTAGTAGTAATCTGTTTACTATTTTCATTTTTTTCCCCCCTTGGTACAGCTATGTGTATACATTGTATAGCCATCAAGAACAATTGGACATTCATTCTCTCTGCACTATTGAAAAATTAAACTTAAGTCTTAAACTACCTTTCAAGCTACCTAGAACATCAAGGTCTAGCAAACCGGCTTCCTCGACAGTGAGAGTCCAGTGGCGTCAGTGACACAACCGTAAACAAAGGCGAGGAAAGCGAGCTGGCAGCCAAGCTAGGCTAAAGCTAGCCCCGAATCAGCTAACCCTACAGCAGCATATTCCAGCATAGTCTGTGGCAAACAAACTGGATGAGCTGCGGCCTCAGATCACCTCACGCAAACGGACTGCACACTGATAAATCATGGTTTTCACAGAAACGTGCCTGAATAACGGGATCATGGACAGTGTCCTCGAGCTGGAGGGGCGCACTGCATTCAGGGCCAAAAGAACAGTGGAGGACTCAGGTAAGACTGAAGCTGGCTGTCTGTGCATTTACGTAAATAATGCGTGGTGTTCGGACACTGTCGTAACTGAGAGTTGTTGCTCTGATAAGCTAGAATACCTGATGAGTAAGTCTAGGCCCTTTTACTTGCCAACAGAATTTACATTTACTGTTATCACTGCCATTTATGCACCTCTGGATGCTAACGCTAAGCTAGCAATGAAAGGACTGCATGCTGCTATTAGCAAACAGTAGTCGGTGTTTTTATTGTTGCGGGTAACTTCAATCACTCCAACCGTAAAAATCTACTCCCCAAGTTCCATAAAAATGGATCCTGCACTACCAGAGGAGACAATATTTTGGACCATGCGTACATAAATATTGCTGAAGCCTAAAAAGTCATTCTTCTTCCCCACCTGGGACAATCTAATCACCTCTCTCTGTTTCTGCTCCCCAAATACACAGCTCTCATCAGAATTGTGAAACCATCAGTAAGGACTGTGAAAGTCTGAAAGTCTGGCCTGAAGAGAAAGACCCAGAACCACTCTTCAGCATACTGATTAGAACTTGTTTGCCACAAACGGCACTTTGGACTCACACTTGAATACTGAAACTTACACGACTTCTCTTCTAGAATATATCAACGTGTGTCAACAACATTACAACCCGCAAAAAGATCAAGACCTTCCCTAGCCAGACGCCTTGGATGAACACAGAGGTCAGCCATCAAAGCCTCCCTGCTCAAAGATGATCAGCCATCAAAGC